GATCGATCGCCCAGCAGAGAGAAGCCCAGGCCACCAGCAGGAGGGGCGATTGATTGGGTGGGGCCTCCGCTATCACCCCAAAGAGGGATGCCCAGGCCATCCTCTACAGGGTGATCAATCAGGGAGCTGCGCAATTTATCGCCCCAAATAGGAAGACCCAGACAACCGACCAGTGGGCTGTGATGGGTGGGCAGGGCCTCCCTCTGGGGGCAATCAATCATGGAACCCCACATGTCTGATTGCCAGCTTAGGCCTGCTCCTCTCAGGATTCCGGATTGTGAGAGGGCACAAGCCGGGCTGAGGGAGCCCCCCCCCAACTCCATAAATTTCGTGTACCGGGCCTATAGTAATATATAATGATTTTCGGCCGTAACCAGTTTGGCTCAGTGGATAGAGCGTCGGCCTGTGGACTGGAAGGTCCCAGGTTCGATTCCGGTCAAGGGCATGTACCTTGGCTGTGGGCACATATCCAGTGGGGAGTGTGCAGAAGGCAGCTGATCGATGTTTCTCTCTCATCGATGTTTCTAACTCTCTATCCCTCTCCCGTCCTCTCTGTAAAAAATCAATAAAATATACTTAAAAAAATATATATATATAATGATTTTCAGATGATAGTAGTAGGCTCAAGTTAAAGTCACCTATCAAGACTGGCATTGCAGCCCTAACTGGTTTTGCTCAGTGAATAGAGTGTTGGCCTAATGGGACGGAAGGGTCCCAAGTTTGATTCTAGTCAAGAGTATGCACCTTGGTTGTGGGCACATCCCCAGTAGGGAGCGTTCAGGAGGTAAGCTGAATCGATGTTTCTCTCTCATCATGTTTTTAACTCTCTATCCCTCTCCCTTCCTCTCTATAAAAATCGGTAAATATACTAAAATAAAAAAAAGACTGGCACTGCAACAGTTGTCTTATAATAAACTAGAGGCCCAGGGCACGAAACATGCACTTGTGGGGATTAGGGGGTGTCCCTCAGCCTGGCCTGTGCCCTCTCGCATTCCGGGAGCCCAAGAGGAGCAGGCCTAAGCAGGCAATCGGACAATCTGAGCATGAGCACAGCTGAGTGGCGCTCTCCCTGTAGGAGCACACTGATCACAAGGGAGCAGCTCCTTCATTGAGCGTCTGCCCTCTGGTGGTCAGTGCGCGTCATAGCAACCAGTCATTCTGCCGTTTGATTGATTTGTTTGTTTGACTTGTATTATATAGGACTAGAGGCCCGGTGCACAAAAATTTGTGCACTGGGAGGGGGGAAGGGTGTCCCTCAGCCCCACTCGTGCCCTCTCACAGTCTGGGACCCCTTGGGAGATAACGACCTGCTGGCTTAGGCCCACTCCCAGGTGGCAGAGGGCACGCCCAATCCCTAGGTGCAGCCCCTCGTCGGGCTCAGAGCAGGGCCGAATGGGGAGTTGGGGTGCCGCCCCCTGTCAAGTATAGAGCAGGGCAGATCAGGAGTTTGCGATGCCACCCCCAGTCACGCTCAGGGTAGGGCTGATTGGGGGGTTGGGGCGCCACCCCCTGTCACACTCAAGGCAGGGTCGATGGGGAGTTTGCGGCGCCACCCGTCATGCACAGAGCAGGGCCGATCAGGGGGTTGGGGCGGTGCCCCCTGTCACACACAGAGCAGGGCCGATCAGGGGGTTGGGGAGCTCCCCCCTTGTCACGCACAAAGTAGGGCCGAAAGGGGAGTTGGGGCACCGCCGCGTCACACACAGAGCAGGGCCGATCAGGGGGTTGGGGCGCCGCACCCTGTCACCCACAGAGCAGGGCCGATCAGGGAGTTGGGGCACTCCCTCCTGTCACACTCAGGACAGGGCCGATGGGGAGGTTGCGGCTCCACCCCATCACACACAGAGCAGGGTCCATGGGGGGGTTGGGGCGCCACACCCTGTCACACACAGAGCAGGGCCGAAAAGGGGGTTGGGGAGCTCCCCCCTATCAGGCACAGAGCAGGGTTGATCAGGGGGTTGGGGCGCCTTCCCCTGACACGAACAGAGTAGGGCGGATAGGGAGGTTGTGGACCCGCCCCGTCACTCACAGAGCCGCAGGGCGATCAGGGGGTTTGGGCGCTGCCCCCTGTCACGCTGCTCCAGGGGTCTGGAGGCCCTTGCGGCTCTGCTGATCCCAGTCCTGGGAGGCCTCGCGGCTCTGCTTAACACAGGGGCAGTGAGGCCTCGCTGCTCCGCTGATCCCGGTGTCAGGAGGCCTCATGGCTTCACTGATCCCGGTGCTGGGAGGCATATTACCCTCTTACTATATACGATAGAGGCCTGGTGCAGGGATGGGGGCCAGCTGGTTTGCCCTGAAGGGTGTCCTGGATCAGGGTGGGGGTCCCGCTTGGGTGCCTGGCCAGCCTGGATGAGGGGATGATGGCTGTTTGCAGCTGGTCACACCCCCTTCACAGGGTGAGGGTCCCCACTGGGGTGCCTGGCCAGTCTGGGTGAGGGGCTGACGGCCGTTTTCAGGCAGGTGGGTGACTGAAGCTCCCAACCTCTCCTTTTTTTCTTTTTTCTTTTTCTTTTGGGATTTATATACCTTCTATGGCTATCCCTGGAACTGAGAGCCGGCTTTAGCTCTGAGGCTTGGCTCCAGCTCTGAGACCTTGGCTGCTGAAAGCAGATATCTGGGTTTGTTTGGCTTCTATAATTGAAACACTGTTGCAGCTCCAGCTCTGAGGCCCAGCTGGCTAAAAGCAGGTTTCTGGGTTTGTTTAGCTCCTATAATTGCAACATTGTTTCTTAGAGTGCAGCTCAGAGGCCGGCAGCGGCAGGCGGGGAACCTTGGCTTCCTCCATCACTGGAGAAAGCAAGCCTCCTGTTCGCTTCAGCTGCCTGGCTGCCGGCCGACATCTTGGTTGGCAGTTAATTTGCATATCTTGCTGATTAGCCAATGGGAAGGGTAGCAAAGTTACGGTTAATTACCATGTTTGTCTATTATTAGATAGGATTAGGTTGATAAGGAAAATCCATTTTGAAACAGTTATGGCATAGAACTGCGCTCAACTTTTCTCTCAGTATAAAATTCAAGTACATAGCCTCATAGACTTAATTCCTTAAAAAAAAAACAAACTTCTGAAACTAGTTTCCCTAAATGTTATACCAATCAATTTGGCAAATATCTTTAACTGATATTTCTCTTAAATTTATTTTCAATTACAGTTGACATATTATTTTATTAGTTTCAGGTGTACAACATGGTGGTAATACATTTCTATAATTTATGAAGTGACCTCCCACCCCTTTAAGTCTAGTGCCCATTCTGCACCAGTTATTGTAATATTATTGACTATATTCCATATTCTATACTTTACATTGCTATTTTTTGTTAACTACCAATTAATCTCTTCACCCTTTCACCCAGCCTCCTATTCCCTTTCCCATCTAGCAACCACCAGTTTGTTCTGTTTATCTATGAGTTTGTCCTTTAGATTCCACATATAAGTGAAATCATATGGTATACTAGAGGCTTGGTGCATGAAAATTCATGCACTGGAGGGGTGGTCCCTCAGCCCGGTCTGCACCCTCTCACAGTCTGGGAGCCCTCAGGGGCAGGAGGCAACTCAGCAATCAGGGTAAGGTGACACCCCATCATAGCCTCGGCCAGCACTGGTTACCTGCGCCTCGGGCCGGCCCTGGGCGGCTAGGGGTGCTGAGGGAACTGGGGGACTCTGGAGGCAGGCCTTGCTGCACGCCTGCCGCCCCGTTGGGGCTGAGCGCTGCCATCTATGAGAGCGGGGAAGTCAATTAGCATATTCCCTCCTTATAGGCTGTGGGCGTCACCATATTTTGATGGTGTGAGGGCCAATTAGCACATCCCCTTCTTAATGCTGTAGTCACTGCCATCTTTGAGGGTGGGGCAGTCAACATATCCCTTCTTATTGGCTGTGGGCACCACCATATCGCAACGGCGTGAGGGTCAATTAGCATATCCCCTTTATTAGATACAATTTCTTTCTCTGATTTATTTCACTTACCATAATGTCTTCTAGGTCCATCCATGTTGAAAAAATAGCTGTTTTTCTTAATGGCTGAGTAATATGTCATTGTACATAAGGATCACATCTTCTTTACCCACTTGTCTATTAAAGGACAGTTAGGTTGCTTCTATACTTTTGCTATCCTATATAATAAAACCCTAATATGCAAATCGACTGAACAGCAGAACAACCGGTTGCTATGACGCACACTGACCACCAGGGGTGCGCCACTCAGCCAGAAGATGGGGTCACGGCTGGCAAGTGCAGGGGTGGTGGCAGGAGACCTGCCTCTGAGGCAGCGCTAAAGAGAAGTGAGCTCAGCTTCTGGCTGAGTTGCGCCCCATTCAGCCAGAAACTGGGCTCACAGCTGGCGAGTGTAGTGGCTGTTGCAGGAGCCTCTCCCACCTCCGCTGCAGGCGGGCGGTGAGGAGCGAGGGGTCCCAGAGTACAAGAGGACGGAGGCCGGGCTGAGGGAACCGCCCAGTGCACAAAATTTCATACACCGGGCCTCTAGTTGTAAATAACACTGCTATGAACAGAGGCATGCATGTATCTTCTCAAAGTAATGTTTAGGATTTCTTCAGCTAAATACCCAGAAGGGGAATTGCTGGTTCATAAGATAGTTCTATCTTCAATTTTTTTTAGGAACCTCCATACTGTTTTCCACACTGGCGACACCAATTTCCAATCCCACCAACAATGCATAAGGCTTCCCTTTCTATATATCTTTACCCAAAGTCCATAGTTTACTTTAGTGTTCATTCTTTTTGAACATTCTATGCTTTGGCGTAACTGTGTAATGACATGCATCTATCATTCTAGTGTCCTTTAGTGGTTGGTTTTTGAATTTAGTTAATTTTGGATTCTGGATAGTAAGATATCTATGTATTTCGTCGTAGACAATGGCCCCAGTAGACTGTGCAGCAAGCAGTAATCAAATATACTGGTATTTCTGCATCAGTGCATACAATTGCACACACTAAGTAGAATAAAAAATATAAATGGTCTGTTATCAAACTGTGGCTCAAAGACAAATCTCTATAGTGTACTAAAATGATACATACATGTCATTATACATTTACACCAAACCATAGAATGTTCAAAAAGAGTGAAAGCTAAAGTACATTGTGGACTTTGGGTAATTATTGTGTCAATGAAGGTTCAATAGTAACAAACATACTGTTCTACATTAACAAACATAATAATGGCTAGGCCAGGGGTGGGCAATGCCTGGCACGTGTGCCAAACATGGCACGCCAGTAACTTTTGCTGGCACGCGAAACCCTCTCTTATAATCTTACATTTACAATTTTTTTCTTAATATTGACTTTTTTATTTTTCAGATAAATTCAGTGTAGGTGCATCTTAGATAAAAAATTTTACATAACACGTATACATTAAAAATAAATGTATTTTTCATCATCATATAATGTGTTTTTGTCGCTCAAATGAATTTTATTATTTCTTCAAGGTTCTTCACATATGCACACCTTAAGAGATATCAAGTAGGCGTAACATGTTCTCAAAAAATTAGGGTTGGCACACAGAAGAATTCTGAGTCAGAGATTTTGCTGGTTTTGGCACGCACTCACAAAAAGGTTGCCCACCCCTGGGCTAGGCAATGTATGTGGGGCACAGGGCATAAGGGAACTGTCTGTACCTTGCTCTTAGTTTTGCTATGAACCTAAAAATGCTGTAAAAAAAATTAAAAGTTTTAAATCTTTAAACACCAAAACAACCCATCATTACTCTATTATGTAATACAGTGATGGGCAAAAGTAGGTTTATAGTTATGAGTATGCAAAATATAGTTCATTCTTGTATTATTTAATTGCTGTATTTTCTATTTTTCCTATTCTCTAAAATTAGTGAATTTAGAGATAGATAGAGATATCAATCTGTTGCTTCACTCATTCAGGCATTCATTGGTTAATACTTGTATGTGCCCTGACCAAGATGAAACCTGAAACTGTGGTACATTAGGACAATGTTCTAACCAACTAACCTATGCAGCCAAGGCTAATTACTACATTTTCTATATGAAAATCCAGAGAGCTACTTTTGTCCACCCCTGCATGACAAAATATTCATTATATTTACAATTTCAAATAAACCTACCAGACAGATTCCATGAATTCTGGATAGAGTGTTTTATAGTCATTGTCAAAGTCAATCCATCGGCCAAGTCTGGTAACAGTAGACTAAAAAAATACAAATATTAGTTGTTAGAGAATATTTGTAATTGTAAATCAATGTGTTTTACTTCTTTATCAGCACATGTAATGATTTTTAGAAAACAGAACAATCAATGATTTAAGTAAATCTATATTGCTATCAACATACTATGTAAGATTAAGCACCAGATTCTTCTGGCATTCAATCTATATGAAAATGTTATTTGCAAGTTATCAATATGCCCTTACAGTCTACCAAAGTTACCATTCAACAAAAGCTAGACCTATAACTGTTGCTGGCAAGAATCATTAATGGATATTAAAACTACTGAGTTAAAGTATGAGAAACAGGATATTTGCAAAGAATCTCCCCACAGAATATAAATTAGAAAGGAAAAACTCCACTTTACAATAAAGAAACCTGACACAGATCATCTTAGTAACCAAAGTTAACATAATCAATGAGACATATCAGTATCACAGGCCTCCTAATGACAGACTAAAGGTATGCTATCATTTCTGAGACATTTTTTCCAAAAATGCAAATCCTAAATTGAATCATGGAAAAACAGTAGATATTGAGGGAGTTTGTTAAAAATAACTGGTTTGGTCCTAACCAGTTTGACTCAGTGGATAAAGCATTGGCCTGCGGACTCAAGGGTCCCACATTCGATTCCAGTCAAGGGCATGTACCTTGGTTGCGGGTATACGCACTAGGGAGTGTGCAGGAGGCAGCTGATCGATGTTTCTCTCATCGATGTTTCTAACTCTCTATCCCTCTCCTTTCCTCTCTGTAAAAAATCAATAAAATATATTAAAAATAAATAAATAACTGGTTTGTACTATTTAAAAGTGACAAGGGCAAGCTCTGGCTGGGTAGTTCATTTGATTAGAGCATCCACATCTGATACACAGAGGTTTGGGTTCAGAGTACATTCAAGAACCAACCAATGAATCCTATCTAATAAAGACGGAATATGCAAATTGACCGTCACTTTGTGACAAAGATGGCGGCACCCACAGCCAATAAGAAGGGAATGTGCAAATTGACACAACAAAGATGGCAGTGGCTGGGCCAGGAAACAGGTGTTCTGCCGCTCCTCAGCCGCTCCAGGCCTCAGGGCAGTACCCACGGAGCAGCCTGGGCGGGGCGGGACACTTGCTATGGGGGAGAGGGCAGGAGGTGGAGGGAGCTACAGGAGGGTGGCAGGGCCGAAGCGAAGATGGAAGGCGGCTCTGGCCCAGAGCAAACGCTGAAGGCAGCAGCCTGAGTGAAGGCCTGGGTCCTGGGTGCCGTAGGGAAGGTGGTGCCGGCAGCCAGGGGACGGAAGGCCTTTCTTGCATGAATCTTCATGCATTGGACCTCTAGTGGATGAATAAATGGATAAAAAAATTGCTGTCCCTCCCTTTCTAAAATATAAATTTAAAACTTTTTAAAAGATTAAAAAAAAGTGACAAGGTCATAAATGACAAAAAAGATAGAGGTCATGTTCCAGATTAAAGGAGACTACGGAGGTATGACAACTAAATGCAGTGTCTGCTTCTAAACTGTATTTTGGATCAGAAATAAAAAATAGTGGAACGGGTTAAATTTGAAAAAGGTCTAATGTAATGTATCAATGTTCATTTTTTTCTAATAAGTTGCTTTTTTATATATATATTTTATTGATTTTCCACAGAGAGGAAGGGAGAGGGAGAGAGAGCCCGAAACATCGATGAGAGAGAAACATTGTTCAGCTGCCTCCTGCACACCTCCCACTGGGGATGTGCCTGCAACCAAGGTACATGCCCTTGACAGGAATCGAACCTGGGACCCTTCAGTCCGCAGGCCGACGCTCTATCCACTGAGCCAAACCAGTCAGGGCTAATAAGTTGCTTTTGTTAATTATACTATAGTTACTGAAGGTGTTAGCTAATAAGTAAAGGATAAAAGAAAACTCTTGATACAACTTCGTAATTTTTAATAAACCGGAATTATTTCACAATGAACAATTTAAAAATAAGGGGGTTGGGGGAAGACCTATACATGTTATAATCAGGATTTTTCCCTACTGGTAACCAGGCAAGGAAAGTTAGATTAAAGAAAGTTAGGAGAAAATTTAGAAGCTTTGATTTTTTAGGTCCATGAAATAAAATTTTATTCACCAATGAAAAGAAGTTACTCAATGCTTTGAGCAGAGAAGAGCAAGATGAGCACAATCTTGTGGGAGAGAGAACTTCACAGGCTGAGTGGAAAGAGCATGAGCAAGAGACCAATTAGGAGATTGTTACCGAAATGAAGAGGTGAGAAGCTAGAGAGAGGTTGTTGAAATGAAAATAAATGACTAAATAAGAGATGCTAAGAAGACTTGATAGAATTTGACAGATTTGATTGTGAGGATTAATGTTTAAAGCCTGAGTCCACTGGCAGAATAGTGAATTCTGAGGAACAGCAAGTTTAGGAAATCAAAGTGGTAAGATGGCAAAGATAAAAAAAAAATACAACAAAGCTGTTAAGTGGCACAATCTAATTAATCAAAAGGCCAGGGAGAAAATAAGGAGGTGAGGACCTGTGTTGCTAAGCCCTTAAGAGAGGGCAGAGCTCTGATAGCACTGGACAGTTACGTACAGGTTCCAGCTGTGGGAGCACCACCACTAAAAGGAGTGGGCAAGATGGGAGTCCATGTAACAATCAGTCCAAATTAGAATTGTTTTTAACATTTGATTTTTTTGTTTGTTTGTTTTACAATATTAAAGTTAACTTATTTGCTAGGTCAGCCTGATTCCTGTCATATCCTGTGTGCAGGTAAAGGATTAAATATGGAGGATTAATCAAACACACAGAAATAACAGAGGCTTCAGTTTAACTAGTCTATGTACTAGGGTTGGAGGTGGAAGCAAAACACTCCTTTAAAAAGGAATGGTTGACACCTTAAGTTACAACTTCACACGGACAGCCATACTTTTGGGAGCATCATAAAATGCATAAAGGACCAGAAGCCATTTTAATATCCATTTAAACTACAAGTTTTGGTCCATTCTACTGAAAATAACTGAACATACCTTCCACTCAGTAGAATATCTCATCACAATTGCTCGGCACTGATTGTTATACTCCATAATCCCCATTTTGGCTACATCCTCTGGTCCTCTGATTCCTAGTATCTTATCTATTTCATATTCCTGAAAATTTACAATAAAATTGTTAACAACGCTGCCTTTGAAACAAAATGCAATTGAACTCTAGAAAATAAAACATTTTGAAATAAATTCTCAAAAAATCTAGAGAAAATGAACTATAAATAGTATTATAGAAATGAAGAAAAAGTCTGATTATAGTAAAAATTCATACTAATACATAGTATATAATGAAATCTAATGCTTATTAAAAAATCAAAACATAAGGCTGGTGACTCAAACATACCACAGGTAAGCCATGACAATCCCATCCAAATCTTCTGTCAACATGAAACCCACTCTGGTGAGCATATCTTGTAACTATATCTTTAATTGTCCCCGCAAGTATATGTCCATAGTGAGGTAGTCCAGTTGCAAAAGGAGGCCCATCATAGAAAGTAAATCTAACAAGAAGAATAAAAATATGTGATTACTTTAAAATAAACAACAAAAATGTAGGACAACTTTTTTTAATAGATGGCAACTGTCTCAGTGGAGTGTTCAGGAAGAAAAGTGGTGAGTGCCTGGCTGGCGTGGCTCAGCTGTTGAGCGTGGACCTATGAATCAGGAGGGAACGGTTTAATTCCCGGTCAGGGCACATCCCCGGGTTGCGGGCTTCATACCCAGTGTGTGGCATGCAGGAGACAGCCCATCAAAGATTCTCTCTCATCAGTGATGTTTCTATCTCTCCCTCACCCTTTCTCTCTGAAATCAATAAAAATATACTTAAAAGAAAATATATATATATATATATATATGTATATATATATATATATTAAAAAAACAAAAAGAAAAGTGACTAAAATCTATTTTGCTTTCTTTTTAAATTTTTGATTTCAGATAAATACATGAAATTGGCAATGTACATGAAATTGGCAATGTAGCAGAATACAAAATCAACACCAAAAATCTTTGGCTTTTTTATACACCAATAATGAATTCTCAGAAAGAGAAACTAAACAAACAATCCCATTTACCACTGCAACAAAAATATTAAAATAACATAGGAATAAACCAAGGAGGCAAAAGACTTGTACTTGGAAAGATACAGAACACTGAAAAAAAAGATAAAGGGAGATATAAACAAGTGGTAGAGTATTCCGTGTTCATGGACTGGTAGAATTAACATTAAAATGTCCATACTACCCAAGGCAATCTACAGACTCAATGCAATCCCTATTAAAATACAAACTGCATATTTCACAGATCTAGAACAAATATTCCAAATATTTATATGGAACCAAAAAGACCCCAAATATCCTCAGCAATCTTGAGAAAGAAGAACAAAGTTGGAGGAATCGCAATACCAGATATCAAGTTATACTGCAAAGTCATCATAATCAAAACAGGAAGATACAGGCACAAGAACAGGCATATAGACCAATGGAACAGAAAAGAGACCCCAGAAATCGCCCCGAGCCATTACGATCAATTAATATTTGACAAAGGAGGCAAGAGCATACAATGGAGTCAAGACAGTCTCTTCAATAAATGGTATTGGAACAATTGGAAAGATACATGTAAAAGAATGAAACTAAACCACCAACTTACACCATACACAAGAATAAACTCAAAATGAATACAGGACTTAAGTGTATGTAGTGAAACCATAAAAATCCTAGAAGAAACCACAGGCAGCAAAATCTCAAACATCTCTCGTAGCAATATGGTTATGGATACAGCTCCTCAGGCAAAGGAAAATAAGGAGAAAATAAACAAATGGGACTACATCAAAATGAAAAGCTTCTGCACAGCAAAAGAAACCATCAACAAAACAACAATAAAGCCCACTGCATGGGAAAACATATTTGGCAATGATACATCTGACAAAGGATTAATAACCAAAATACATAAGGAACTCATACAACTTAACAAACGGAAGACAAACAATCCAATTAAAAAATGGGCAAAGGACCTAAATAGACACTTCTCCAAAATGGACCAAAGTGGACATATGAAAAAATGCTCAAGCCCTGGCCGGCTTGGCTCAGTGGATAGAGCGACAGCCTGCGGATTGAAGGGTCCCAGGTTCTATTCCGGGCAAGGGCACACGCCTGGGTTGCAGGCTTGATCCCCAGTGGGGGGGCGTGCAGGAGGCATCCAATCAATGATTCTCTCTCATAATTATAACTGATGTTTCTATCTCTCCTCCCTTCCTCTCTGAAGTCAATAAAGAAATATTTTTTTTAAAATGCTCAAAATCACTGATCATCAGAGAGATGCAAATTAAAATGACAATGAGCTATCACTTCATACCTGTCAGAATGGCTACTATCAACAAAACAACAAATGACAAGTGCTGGAGAGGATGTGGAGAAAAGGGAACCCTAGTTCACTGGTGGTGGGAATGCAGACTGGTGCAGCCATTATGAAAAACAGTATGGAGTTCCCTCAAAAAATTAAATATGGAATTGCCATTTGACCCTGCGATCCCAATTATAGGAATATATCCTAAGAAACCTGAAGCACCAATCAGAAAGAATGTATGCACCCCTATGTTCATAGCAGCACAAAGTACAATAGCTAAGATCTGGAAACAGCCCATCAGTAGGTGAGTGGATAAATTCAGATAAATGATTATTTATTGCAGGTCCTGCCTTGAAAAAAGCTAGTTATGGGGGAGCTGGAGAGGCCTCCACTGGGCCACCCATTCTTCATTGGTTATTCATCCTGATGGTAAACGATAAAGCTATTCATCAGTAAAATAGGGCACCAAATGCCTATCTCATAAAGTTTTTGAGCAGAAGACACATGATTAAAAACAGAACAAAACTGGTCGTTAGGTGAAGGGAGATTATAGGCAGGAGGCAACCTAACAGAAGGCTAGTCTAAGTAATTAATGAGGTGGTGATAATGAGAAAAGTGGGAAGGAAGAGTGTGATATGTAAACTCTATTCAATAGTGGTCCAAATTTAAATAGCTTTTAACATCTGAATTTCATTAGACCATTCAGGTTAATCTATTCAGAAGAACTCTTAAACTGAATCTAACCTAATAATTAAGAACTCATTCATTCAATGTACATCTACAACTGAGAGTACCTACTATATAGAGCTAGAGACTCTGGGAATACAAAATGAATAAAACAGTGATGGCGAACCTTTTGAGCTCGGCATGTCAGCTTTTTGAAAACCCTAACTTAACTCTGGTGCCGTGTCACACATAGGAATTTTTTGATATTTGCAACCATAGTAAAACAAAGATTTATATTTTTGATATTTATTTTATATATTTAAATGCCATTTAACAAAGAAAAATCAACCAAAAAAATGAGTTCGCGTGTCACCTCTGACACGCGTGTCATAGGTTCGCCATCACTGGAATAAAAGGTTCCTGCCTTAATTGAACACAGTCTAAGAAATGACTAGTCTTAAGGACTCTATCTTTACCAAGAAATTCACATACTTTGGCCTATGTTTTGACTGCTTTAGGCATTCTTGGAAACAATTAAATTCGGACCAGAACTGCAAGATTTTCTCTTCTTCAGCAGGAAAATCGATGTTTTCTGGAACTTGCTGAACCATTCTGTTGCTGCAAGAGAAATCAAATTTATTATTCTCAAAGAGAAGTCTAGTCTAGAAATAATTACCATACATTAAAATGAGTGTACATATTACTACCTATGGTACTACATGTTACTTTAAAAATAATTACGTTTTTTAGGTAAATTTCACACACTATCAAGTTCACCATTTAAAGTGTACAATTCAGTGATTTTTAGTATATTCACAAAGTTGTGCAACTGTCACCATGCTAATTCCAGAACTTTTTCATCAATGCTCCCTCCCCATCCTCTAAAAACCTGTACACATTAGCAGCCACTCTCCATTCCCTTTTTTCCAGCCCCCTGACAATCATAAATCTACTGCTTCTAAAGATTTTCCTGATCTGGACATTTCATATAAAAAGAATCATGTACGTACAGCCTATTTTGTCTGGCTTCTTTTATTTAGAATTATGTGTTCAAGGTTCATCCATGTTGTAATATATATATATAATATATATATATCTCTTAATATGCATATATAATATATATAATAATTATTATAATGACATATTATAATAATACTAGAGGCCCGGTGCACAAAAATTTGTGCACTGGGGGAGGGAGGGGGGAGTCCCTCAGCCCGGCCTGTGCCCTCTTGCAGTCTGGGACCCCTCGGGAGATAACGACCTGCTGGCTTAGGCCTGCTCCTGGGTGGCAGAGGGCAGGCCCAATCCCTAGGTGCAGCCTCTGGTCGGGCTCAGAGCAGGGCTGACTGGGGAGTTGGGGCACCGCCCCCTGTCATGCACAGAGCAGGGCAGATTGGGAGGTTGCGATGCCACCCTCAGTCACGCTCAGGGTAGGGCTGATTGGGGGGTTGGGGCACCACCCCATATTACACTCAAGGCAGGGTCGATGGGGAGGTTGCGGCGCCACCCCCTGTGACGCACAGGGCAGGGCCCATCAGGGGGGTTGGGGCTCCGTACCCTGTCACGCACAGAGCAGGGCCAATCAGGGGGTTGGGGAGCTCCCCCCTGTCATGCACAGAGCAGAGCCCATCAGGGGTTTGAGGAGCTCCCCCCGGACACGCACAGAGCAGGGGCCCATCAGGGGGTTGGGGAGCTCCCCCCTGTCACTCACAGAGCAGGGCCGATAGGGGAGTTAGGGCACCGCCCCCTGTCACACACACAGCAGGGCAGATCAGGGGGTTGGGGCGCCGCCACTGTCACACTCAGGGCAGGGCCAATGGGGAGGTTATGGCTCTACCCCATCACACACAGAGCAGGGCCCGTGTGTGTGTGTGTGGGGGGGGGGGTTGGGGC